GTCGTACAAGTGCTTGATAAGAAAGAAAATCTTCTCACATGTAAAATTCTTTTGTAATATCAAAAAAAAAAACGATCAAATATATCATCCGCTAGTAATTATATATAACTAGATGTTATGCAGACATACTAAGCAATAATGAACCTTTGAATCAACTTCACACTGTCTTTGACAAAAGAAGAATATCTTTCTTCTAACAAAATGCGAAAAAGAGACTTTCAATTCTGCAAAAACAAAAATTAAATATTTCTACAATTGGTGGAAGGGAAAGGTCACACTTCCGACACTTCTCTAACTTGACCATCACGACTCTGCTATTTATTTTATTTGATGTAAACTACAAGGAACTTATTCTATTATATCTATGTATGAATTTTTTTGAGTTTTACATGCAGATAAAGAATATTGAGTATTTTACGTCGTTTGTTCTCGATCAAACAATAGATTGGATTTTTTTTCATCGTAGAAAAATCTATGCATGAATTGAATAATTTGCTTTTAACGTAATAGATCTTCATTACAAAAGGTGACTTAGTCAAATTCTTTCTTTTTTCTTCATCTTCTTCATCACCTTGTGATTGAAAATGGCATATATATTTATTTTGGGATTTGTCACATGCACTAAACATACATTTGATTGTATGCTAAAGAACAAAAGAACATTACAGTTCATCAAGTTTGAATTTTACAACATATGAATATTTTACTCAATAGCATTCTTTTAATCATCAGAAGACATTCATAGTAGTTCTATAAAAAGAAAACAAACATCCAACTTTGACTAATTTCTTCTACTCCATTATCCTTTGATGATTTCATACGCAATATTTTACTATGAAAAACTATTTTTTCTGTTGATTCATGTGTGTAGAACTTAATAAGCCGATTATTAAATTACAATGAACTTTATATTGATAGAATTAATTTTTTTCGAGTTCAGCAAGTTCATGAAAAAAGTTAAGATGCATGAGTCATGTAGGGTAAATAGATGAGTCCTATTTTTTAATCGGCATTGAATGATTGAGTCAAGAATACTTTGATTTTATCAGATAAAATGATTTTGCTTCAAGCAATGTCAGTTTATTTGTAATAAATGTCAAAAATAGAATTTTTGGTGTATGAAAAGATAATTTTCTTAACAATTCTAATAAATCATTTTATCTGTACTCTAAAAACTTGAACTATATCGGTTAATGTTCGCTTTCATAAACTGTTGATGTATTCTCTTTGATGACAACTTCAAAAATGATGTGTTAGAGTAAACAAATATTGCTTCAAGTGAACTTTAAATCGTTATTTTAGATCTCATTTTGATCATAATAAATGAGTCCGCAAAAAAATGAATATGAATGAAAATGGAGAGACGCCTAAAACCGTTACCTATATCTCTATACATTCATTGATGTTTCAATAGACATTCAGGCTCAATGATAAATAAGAATATCTTCATGAGAACTTTGTGTCGAAGCTTTTACAGAGCTTGCATTTTTTTTTTGCAAGCATGATGCATATTGTCTTCTTGGCATTTACTCATGAGTACTATTTTTCTTTGGTGAAAATGATATACTGATTAGCATTTTTCTTATCTTTTATTGAATGAATAATTCTGAATATGATCACATTTATGTCGAGTGAAGGTCTTTAACAAGTCGTGGAGACTGTACAAATTATTTCTATTTACATATGGAACTGATACAGCTAACTGATTCATGATTATGTCAGCGTCTGCAATATATCATTGATGAGCTTGTAAATCTCAGCAACATCTGTATATTAAGTGAAAGACACAGAAAAACAACTATTGTCAAAAGAGCACTACGTGCAACAATAGCGATGATACATGTGTAATAGATTTTTTGGTGTATTTTGTTAAAATTTGAAATGAAAATTTAGCAATTGTTGAAACGAAAAATGATAGATCTTTCTTCATCATTTTTCAAATTATTTCAAAGAATTTGTCTTTAACTTTTCACATATCAATATCTGTATTCTAGATTAATGAAAATAAAAGATGTTTGATATATTTTTGTATAATTTATAAAATATACATATTTAATATGTCTTCTATATAACATCTGTATAATGTTCGCCTTATTGTTACCAAATACAGCCAGGACATTCATATTTATGTAATACCAAAATGTCTGTTATTTAGTATCAAATTAATTTCTTTTTTTTTACTGATATGTGTGGGTGTACATACTGATTCTTTTTCATATTATCTTGAAGTAAAAATACTAGCTGAAAATCAATGAGTCAATAAAAACGAATTTATATTTTTATATAAAATTTCTTATAGATTTATCGTGAGAGAAAAAAAATATGTGGATTTGATTGACTTGAATAAAACATCTCATAATCAAAGAATAATATTCTATAGCTTTTTTTTTTTCTTTCGTGTATTTTTTTCAAAGGCTTGTCCTAAAATGATTTCTATCCTTCTTTCTTTTTTCCATCTTATTCACAAAATTTTCTCATATATGAATTTATATTTCTTCTTTATATATGATATTTAGGAAGATTTCAGTTATAAAAATATGTCTGCATGTAGATAAAATATGTAGAAATATTTTATAACTGACAACCACCTAAATTAAACCTTGAATTATTCGATTGTTTTTTTTTTTTGTTATTATATAAGATTATTCTGAAATATTCTCTTAAGAATTATATTTATGTTTTCTATAAGTTAATGTTGTAACTTTTAATAACTTTAGGTGATAAATATCGACAGATCAGTATACTCAAATTTTGATCATTCAAATGGAATAATTTCAGCAATATGAACAAAAACAAACAATCGTTCATCAATAAACATGACAATAAAATGAAAAAAAAAAGAGTTTATTGTTAAGATTTATAACAAATTATCAAATACTTAATCGGAATAGGATATGTTCTGATCAAATTAAACACTCATTGAAAAATTAACAAATTTCAAATACGAGCTGTTCATGGCGTACACCGAGCAAGATTAAGTATTTTAAATATATGTACAGTGTATGTAAGATACCGAAGTAAATAGTGAATGTAAGTTTTAAGTCAAATTTATAATAATGAAGCTAAACAAACACATATAAGTTCCATATTTCAACGCCAAAGGGGCTGTGCTAACAAGCTTTCCTGCAATCATTTCTAATTATATATTATGCATACGATAGTCTTATTATTTTCATTTCGATTGTTAATCAATAAATAAAACTGAATGATATTGTAAGGAAATAAAATTAGAAAACAAAAGAAAAAGTTACAAGCGAACATATTTATTTCCAGACATCTTAATTATTTTTTTTCCTCTCCATTTGAAATAATCAAACTATATTATCTATTCGCTGATTTGCGTTCATCATGAGAATCAACATCAACATTTGCTTGAAATTGACCACGAATATTTCCAGGAGGTTGATAAAGAGCAACAACATATAATCGATGACCATTATATGCATGACCAATACCTAATTCTTTTGAATTTTTCCATACTAATTGTGAAAAATGTGGAGCTGAAGATTCATTTTTAACATTATAATGATAATGTTCATTATACCAAGCCTTGACAATTTGTTCACCTAGTTGTAATAAAAAAAAATAAAATACAAAAAAATAAAAAGAATTCAATAAAATTTTCACCAGTTATCTTTGATGGATCGCCTGTATCAACTACATATATATTTTCATTATAATCATTTGATAATTGTATTGGTTGTTCATTCGCTTCAGCATGAGCACGTTTTTGTGCTTTTTCATTTAAATCATTATTAATTTGAAGTTTATTGGCATTCGTTTTTTCACGATATTTATTATGTTGATCAAGAATTATTTGTTGAAATTCTTCTATTGGTGTACCATGTGTTCCATTCGTTTCAGCAGCATAATCTAAATAATGACAAAAAAAAAATAAAGTCATTATATTTTCGAACAGCTTACTTTGTGAATTAGCTTCATGTGATCCTCGTCCATTATTTCTTAACGGTTCAGAATCATGATTCACACCGTCCTGATCATGACTAGTATCTAAAAAACATCATCAAAAAAAAAATTATAGAAAAATCTCATTGGTACCGTTATGAACTGGTATAGATGGATGATCTATATTAGCCAAATTTTCACGTTCAGTAAGATTGGATGTACTGGATACATGTGCATCTGTGTAAAAAAAAAGGAAGAAATTAGTTAAAAGACAAATTCATTATCTACCTTCTGCTTGAACCTTAGCATGTACGGATAAACAACATATAATGATGAGAAATACTATCCAACGACATAATACTAAGCACATTGTAAATCTTTATGTTGTTTTGTTAGTAATGAAGACTATTGCAAAACAATTGTTTTGATATAATTTACGAAAATAAACGAGAACCGTTTGTTTCTTTTTAATCTTGTCTTTCTATTCTCTTTCGAGGATATATGTTTATAATTAATATTAACTAAAAACTACAAATGTGTTTTTGTTTAAAATATTTGTCATTGTAAAATCAATGCCATAGCTATCGTTAGTTCGATATATTTTTCAAACGGATCGAATAGAATAATAGTAAGAGAAATATTACAAGAATGTGTTTGATTCAAGTCATCAATATATTCATTTGATGTAAGCTATCTAGGAATAAAATAGATATTTAAGAAGTGGAAGCGATACTATAGACGAAATTTAGAAATATTGTTTATTTCTAATTTGACCATATCAAAGGTCAGAAAAGACTTTGTTCTAAGAAGTACAAAAGAAATAGCAATTGATTTTCATGATATTTATTCAAGCAGAATTCTTTAATAAGAATATTTGAAATGTGTTAATGATGATTTTGCTCTCAACAATGCTCGTTATTCATTTCAGTGAAAAGTTTATGATTGATGATGAATCTTCGTCGAAAGATGAGCATCCTATGGTGTAAATATCTGAAGAAATATGTAAGAAAAACACCGTTATCTCAATCGGATATGATGAACACAAGTGGTAATTCAGAAGGAACATATTTGTTACATTGTCATAATATTTGAGAGACATAGTAAAAAGAAAGACTATCTTCTTCTGATATATACTGATTTTTGTAAGAACTTTGGCATTGCTATTGCGAAATGATGGTTAGATGTTGCGAACGAGTGGCTGACTTGATTCGACACACTTTCACAACAGTCACCCATCTTTCAATCAACGAGACAAACGCAGTTTTTGCATGGATGCTTCAAATGAAGAAAAAGTAAAAACAGAGGAGTCTGTACGATAATATCATATAATAATATATCAAATTCCAGCAAAGATGTCAACATCGTATTGTGCATGTATTATATTTTCCTATTCCACTCACATGATTTTTGAAGAGATTTTTTGGTTTATCCATTAACTACATCTTGCTCTGTTTATGCAGTTTGCTCGAAAAAAGCGCGGAAAAACAAAAGAAGTATGATTATACAAAAAAAGTATGTGCTATACGCTTGGCAAGATGATATATATATTGGTGTAATTATATTCTTTCTCTTATTTTTATTTAAACCATTCTCCTTCGTTATTACTTTCAAAGATAAACCATCGACGAACGATGCCAAGGATCATGGTACAATTCTCGTTTGGAATGGCCATAATAATAAAAGCAATACATTCATGGATAACTTGGTTTACGAGAAGGTGGTGATCTAGTTTGTGGAGCAATTCCGTGGGGTTGGCTACAGGGAAATAGCGACAAATTTCTTTCAGATTTCCCATACACTCGTTTTTGTGATTATATTGATGTCAAACTGATCGATAATTATCCCCGTGCTTCTGATCAGATTCCATTGGTACCTGAATTGGTTAAATTCAAAAATGTTTGTCAAATTGTTCAAGCACTAGTGAATGAACCACATAATATCGGAAATTTGAATATCGTCGGATCAGCAATCACAGAACCAGGTGATACATTGCCAGGTGTACCGATTGAAACTCTGCAGAATATTGTTCTGAATTTTGGAAGTGAATTCGTTCCAGCGAGTAGTTATCCGATTAAAGATAAATCATGTCGACAACAATCGACTGGTTTGTGTGGTATTGTGTGTGCATTACCTGGTACCAAAGCTCCTGGTTAGTACGATCGAATTTTGCAAGAAATTGTAATGTAATCAAATGTCGATCTTGGGTCTAAACGGTTTTTCTGGTGATTTTGATAATCCACCATCTATTGAAACAAACGTCCCAGTTCAAATTCAGTCGAAGGCCAGCGAATGGTATTGCACAGGTATGTTTGAAAATACTCCAAATCATGAAAAAATACAACGGTTAAGAAATTTCTCTGTGTTCATAGATCTTGAAACGATATCAAGTTCTCTATTTTTCTCTTAGGATACTATGTAACTGCGGGTATTCCCATACAAATCGACGTATTAGAGCAAGTTGGTGCAACTAGATGGTCAGTCCGAATTGGTTGTCATAGTGATGATCTTGGAGTATGTACTCATGCAAAACAATGCTTAATATCGACATGTGTTTATTATTATTAGACTTGTCAAGGGGGAAACGGCAGTTTCTAACGGTTTGGAATCCCTGGAATCCCTTGGAATCCCTGGAATCCCTTGGAATCCCTGGAATCCCTTGGAATCCCTGGAATCCATTGGAATCCCATGGAATCCCTTGGAATCCCATATTATCTCATGGAATCCTTGGAATCCAGGAATCAGCTATTTCCACCTTGGGGTGTGTGGATGTGGGGTGTGGGTGGGTATGGAGTGTGAGTATGCTCTCCAGAGTAATACTCACACCGACACCAACACCCACACACCCACGCC